AAAATGAGAAATTTTCTGCATGTACATAAAATTTCTTACCGAAAATTCTACAGATATTCACATGGGAGTGGGCCTCAGGTGAGTTAAATATTGTTTAAAAAAATAGGGCCCACCCCCATGTGTGTATTCTGAATGATTTCTGGTATTTTTTTTTTTATACGTATAGTGCTTCTCTTAAAATGAACTAAAATTTGTCATTTTTAAGAAAACTTTCACGGAGAGAGTGAAATATTGTTTGCCTTTATTATGGATTCTCCACTTGTATTTGCAATTCCTTTGGTCTATTTCACTTATGACCTCCTTGAGAGAAATTTCTTGGAGGCTGATTGAAGATTAAGCTTTGATAGTTATAAAGAACATGGACTAACAACTTGAGATATTTGGCATGTGATCTGTGGAAAGTTATCATTTCAGATTCAAAGACGAAGAGATTCTCCAAGGATCCATGTAGTGAAAGAATATGATAATTTACGCATTTTAAGAACTTCTAGTGTTTTCAAAAGTTTTACTCACACAATTAATGATGGCAACTTTGGAGGGGCACTGAGATAAGAAATGAAATTTAGAGTTTGATTTACGAGTTTTTATTTATAGATGAATGATCAGTAAAGAAAGTGAAAGAGAAAAAAGAATGGTAAAATATATATAGTGCGTGCACATTGATTTTTTTTTTTTTTTGAATTCAACGAGGAACCACCATATATTCAAACCACAGCAAATGATGGATACATGGAGGAAAAACCTCCAACACTATGCTCTCCTAAAAGAGATTCAGTGCATCCTATGCATGATATCAAAACAAAAAACAAACACAACACAACAAAGACCAAAAAAAAGACAAGCAGACTACAAACAGAACGAAACACCGAAACCAACCACCCACGCACAGGCCACAACCACAACCGGCAGTGCGTGCACATTGATTGAGCCCATGGTAAATTAAAGTTAGAGGATGAACTTACAATACCTTCATATCCATCCTCTAACTTTCTTATACCAACAAACTAGTCCTCCAACTT